ATGTGGTTCCTGCTCTCGTGGAGCTTGCAGTCTACTGAGGGAAAAGACACTAAACATACAAATGTGTAATTAAATTTTGTGATAAATGCTATGAAAGAAAAGTTTTCAATTTTATGAAAGATAACCATTTTGGTGGAACATGAGTGGGATGTGGCGGCCAGGGAAGGCTCCTAATAGATCCATAAGAGCCATCAAGGCAAATACTAGGAGAAAAAACATTCCAGGCAGAAAGCGTGGACAGCAACCCGAAAGAAGGGAGTGTGGCTGGAATAATATGAGAAAGAAATGGTAAGAGGTGACTAATTTTTCATCTGTCTCTCATACTAAATCTTTAAAGACAGGCAACAACAATATTCAGTGAGTTTTCCTAATTATTATGTGAGGGGTTTTAAAACAAATCTTATTTTTACCCTCAGGTCAGATACTCCCAATGAAAGGCATATGAATCAGGTTATCTAATATGCATGTGTCTTTAGACTATTAATTGATTCATTGGAATCCTCCATCTTTTTGAATTTTCCATTTAACAAATTTTTTATTTAAGAATGAGTCCCTATACATCATTTTGTGTTATTTCATATTTCCCCAGACGTGTGATTACAAATTCAGCTCGTTTACTCATGTGAAATTAATTTGTGATTCTTCGAAGCTCACTAAATGATGCATTGTTTGCTACTAAGTTATCTGAAACAATTTCCCCATTAGGGAAAAAAAGCTCTTTGAGTCTTTCTGTGTGTGACCAAATTCCAAATATATGATGAATCTGCATAGGGGGGAAAGTGACACTCAAAATGACTTGCAACTTCATGTGCTTGGCAGTAAATTATTAAGTCTAAATTCTGCATCTTAGGCAGAGTGAGCCGTGACACATATGCTCAGCTTAATTTTGATCAGTTATTTTCTTAAGCTTTTTATAACAAATTTCCCAGCAATGAAATAGTAGAACCATGAAATACCTAATGTCTTCACCAGTAGTGACAACTCAGTCATTTCAAAAAGTGAAGCAGGAGTGTTGTTAATTTTCAAAGTTAGTGCCTGATTTTGTTTTCTTGATTCGCTACGTTATATTCGTACTCCTTTCTCTTGCTTTCTCACTGTCTTTTTACTTTTGCTTCTAAATCTCATGTTTACTAGGAAATATTAGGAAAAGTGTACATACAAAAAAGTTTGACAGAAACCAGAGAGTCTCGGTGGAATCTAAGCAATAGACCCTATAGAGTGGGCACATCTTTTTTGATTTTATATTCCCCTGACGGTCACAGAGAAATGGCTCACTTGATGCTTGTCGAACACTTAAGTCAATGGAAATACTCGGAAGCAACTGTGTTTGTTTTGTGTAACTTTTTCTATAGCTATTTCCCATTACTTACTTGATTTTTAAAACAATTATTAAAATCTCAAATGTACAGTTGAAATATCTTATTTTCATCATATTGCCAACGGTAATGATTTTAATATGATACTTTTTTTGTAGGCTAACATAGCATTTCTGTTGTTGCTTATAAATATTTTTCCAAGTATTTCCTGAGGTATCGTTTCTGTAAGATTGTCAGTCCTACTTTTTGTACACTAAATGATAATCATTGCTGTGTTTTCATTCGGTTAACAGTTTTCTTCATCTTTCTTTGGACCTTTTTGTTTTTTTCTCATTCATCACATGCTTCTTAAATGCTGATTGTATATGTTCTGAAATACTGGGATATTCATGACAAATTTGTGCACCTCTGCAATTTCTGATTTTCCTGCCTGGAAAAATCTTCTGGTTTATCAGCTGGTTTTTGCCATTCTTATTTATGGTTCGAAGAGTGATAAACTAAGAAAAACAGATAGTTCAATGAAATCAGGGTACTTGCTAACCTGATTAACTCAGCCAGGTGTCCAGTCATTGTCACATAGCTTTATATTTTAAATCACGTTGTCTGTTTTCTTCAATTAGGTTTCTGTTTTGCCTGATTAGAGAAACTATGCCAAGAGAAACTAAAACCTATGTTCTTTCTGGCCTGCTATGATGCCATCATTTATGCCTGTTGTGACTTACCCATGCAATTTTTCTTAAAAAACTATGTGAGCATGCTCTTTCAAAATATCAGTCCCCTGGCTTCCATGATGTCATCATTTAGTGACCACTACTAAAAGTAGGACTGGCAGTCTTACAGAAACAACACCTCAGGAAATACTTGGAAAAATATTTAGAAGCAATAATAAAGCTATGTTAACCTACAAAGAAAGTACTGCATGTGGCTTTCTTATAAGCTTGTTTTAAATCATTCTGAAGTTAAAAAACAAAAACAAAAAACAAAAAAAAATAATTCATTCTTTCTCACTAATTTTATGGCTATTTTTATAATATAAATATTTTAAAAATTTATTTTTCAACTTCCCTTCTCAGCTGAACCCCACTGTCTGTGCATTAATACCACTACCCCAATAGACACCTAGAATTAAAACCCAAGTCATGTGCTTTAATCCTTTCTACTGTTTCTAGTCATTTCCTAATTCCAATTGATGCTTTTTCTCTTCCTCTTCTTCCATATTTCCTATCACTACCATATTCTAGCTCATTTCATATCTAGATTATTTGACTCCTTTTGTACTTACCCTTCCTGTGCAATTTATTTTGCATATATCTGCATTTCATCTAATATAAAAACTGTTAGGCACTAATTTTAAACTGAGAGTCTCATTCCTTCCTTTTTCATCTACCAGCTATCAGAGTGCTCATTATATGTAAGCTTCTCAGTGCCAGGCATGGAAAAGTGAACAAAATAGCATGCCGTAGTCCCTGCTTTCTTGGAGCTTATGTTCTCATGGTGGGTGGGGTGAAGAGGAAGAGAGAAGAGACATGTAAATTAACAAAGTAATTTTGGATTGTGGTGCTATTTTGTGATAGAATGTAGGGATACAGTGGCAGTGTTGATTAAAGTTGGGTGCTCAGGGAGACTTCTCCAGGTAGATTTTATTTGGGCTGAGACGTAAAGACAGCTAGACCACCCAGGATTGGAAAGACGAGAGAAAAAAAAATAGTTAAGAAAATTCTGGAAAACATTTTAATGTGTGGGAGGCTTTTTATCCCTCCTCCAAAACAGTAGACAGGATAGTCCTTAAAGTAACCGTTATGTGCAGATAAGAACTCAGTACTGGATCACAGTAGCATCTCAGGCATCACGGGGAAGGGAAGGACTAGAACCTTCACAAATGGATCTAGGGAAATTTTAGTTGCTATACATAGTACATGTGATTCTTTGCTTGGTTGGCTGTGTTTTGGAGCCCATTCATGCCTTTGGGACTGGGACATACAGCAAAATAAAATTGATAGATACGAAAAACGCCAACATTGGAGTAACTTTTTACTTTAATTTTCAGATTTCTTAATTGTAGTTTGTTTTCTCTTCAAGAGCAGCAAAGAATTTGTTTTGACCAATTTATTTTCTAAGAGATCTGTTTTTTTGGGATACTGAAATAAGGAAGTCAAGTTTCTATACTTGATGGCTAGAGATTAAATCTCAAATCTGTCCTGACAGCTCAGGCTTCCAGACACTGACCATAAGGCATGAAAGGTGAGTCTGGATCAGGGACTCCAGAGTGTAGCTAAATCAGGCAGGCGATCACCAGAAAGATAAGAAGAACTAACTAGAAGCAAAGTCCCATTAGCGGTAAGAGCAGGACAAAATAGTCTTGGATTTAGTTGTGTTATTAAAGAAATGAAAGTTTTCGACATTTCCAACTGCTTTATTCTAAATTTTTGATTTGGGCCTGTGAGAATCTGAGGTTTGACTAGACAAAGGATCATATTCTCCATGTGAAATTATATTAGTTGGTGATTCCCATGGTGATACATATTTAACATTTTAAAATATTATACATGGAATTATTCATTCATTTTTAGAAATTGTGTCCATTATCCACTCTGTCGCTGGTTATATAATCATGCATATGTTTGAATAAATCAGATGTTATGTTAATGCTGTGGCTTCTGTTACAGGCTTTGTAGGAAAATATTTATCTATTATGCCTTTGGTCTGCTTCAACTAAATTTGGCTTTTTACTTGGCTGTTACCAGTAGATATCCAGTGATGTGTATCCTTATTAAAGCTGCTTTTCTTTTTGAAATTTTACACCATTTTCCAAACCCTCTTGTTGCAAACTGACAGGTTTGTGGCACTTAAGATGTTTGCTTAAATTCTTGACTTTTATACTTCCTCAGGTGCTTGTTCAGATTTTTAAGTTTGATATATTTTTTTTTCTTCTTAGGGGATGATATCATGTAACAATTCAGGTTTTCTAGGACTAGAGGTCTAGTTACCTTGTATAATGTTATGGCAAAGGAGTACCCAATAGACAGATAATGATAATGTGATAATGTTAGAGCTTTTCACTCAATAAGAAAAAATAAACTATATAGCCTATGTTTTAACTGAAACTAGAGCAAAGTGCTTTATAATGTTGTCTGTATTCCCAGAGGTATATGATATTTACTAGCTATACCTTTATTGTGGTTACTTTTGTGTAGTTTGCATGATTAACTTACCAGTGTCAGAAGGACTAAAATAAATATTGATTTTTCAGTGTAGGAGTATTGAAACAAATGCCATGCTTAAAATGACAGTCCCCCAATAAACACTCATCAAGCATATACTCTGAGTAAAGTGCTTTGCTAGGTGCTTTGCAAGATTTACAAATAAATCAGCTGTGTCTCCTGCCATCAGGAATCTTTGAGGTTGTGTGGGATATTATACCCTTATGGAAAGAAACGTCCAAAGTGACCTGAATGGCTTTGCCTAGGGAGAAGGAGGGGTCACCTCATATGCTTAACTAAGGATGTTTTATCACCACAGTCCTAAAGTTGAAATTTATTCACTGGTTTAAAAAAATATTTTAGCAACTAGTATAATAAATACTGGTTATATTTAAAGGCTGTCCCTAATGTGTATGCTTTTTAAAATTTTTTATTTAACTTTTAAAAAATATTAATGTAAACTCTTACATTATTTTCTCCTTAGTTTACTAGAAAATGGCCAGCTTGAAATTGTGACAGGTGGCTGGGTTATGCCTGATGAAGCTGCTGCACATTATTTTGCCTTAATCGACCAACTAATTGAAGGACATCAGTGGCTGGAAAAAAATCTAGGTATGTATTGATGTCTTTCCCCTTCATTTGGACTACTTTGGGCAATTAATTTTGGGGAATGCTCTATTTGTTTTAAATAACTAGTTTTCCCAATATTGACTATTTGTAGATAATTTATCCTTCATTAATTTATGATTATGCTGCTTTGATTATAAACTGACTTATGTAGATATAATATGGCATATTTTAGGATCATCTACCTTGTCTCATCCATTATTATATCTATTAATTTTAACTATTTTTATTAATTAGAATTTTTTCCCCCAAAATATCCCACTTGGATTTAAATTATATATTACTTAAAATTCTTAGTCATAAGAAGCAAAAACCTAATTTACCAGCTTAAAAAAAGAGAGAGAAGGAAAGAAAGAAAGATATTAGTTTTAGCATTGAGAATTCCAGATATATGGTAGCTTCAGGTAAGGTTGGATCCAGGAATCTCAAAGCATGTTGTGTGGCCATCATCTCTTTTGGCTCTGCTCATTTTTGCATAGCTTTAGTCCTCTCCTCATTCTCTCCACATGGTGAGTAAGGTGGCCATAAGGCAATTACGACTTTCATCTTCCCAGTCTTAACAACTAACCTTACCTAATTGGCCCAGTTTGGGTCAGGTGCTTATTTCTGAGCCAGTTACTTGGCCAGAGGTATGGGAGCTGAAATCATTGGGGCCTAGTGAGTGTGTTGGAACAGTCATGGGGGAAGAGGGGTCTGTGGAGGGCAGAGTCATCAGCAGCTGAACCATGTGAATGGATGGGTCCTCCACTGGGAAGGAATGATCCTGTTATTACAAGAAGTGGGGAAGGGATGCTGCACTGATAAAATCAGATGTTCACTATAATTCATAAGAACACGGAGTGACTAATTGAAATCTTCACAATATCTAATATTTGTATTCTGCAACATGGTATGTAATTCCTTTTAAATATTTCATATTTCAGTTCAGTTTTATAATTTCTGTATAGTAAGTAAGCATATTTTTTATTGAAGTTATTGCTAGATATTTTAGTATTAAATTTAGTATTAAATATCTAGCAATAACTTCAATAAAAAACATATATTTCTTTGTATTTTAGAGATAAAATTCCTGTCATCCCTATTAATTTTTTCTTTACTTTTTATTTTGAAATAATTTCAAACTTAAGAAAAGTTGTAAGAAATAATGTAAAGAACTCCAATAAGCCCCTCAACCAGATTGACCAGTTATTAACATTTCTACACAGTTGCTTTATTCTTTTCTTTTTCCATATCGTGTTGTGATTGTTGTATTAGAGTAAGTTGCAGATATTGTGCTTATGCGGAAAAGAGATAATAAGTCTGAACTGCTATCCTTCGAAAGATCTTGCCTGCAATGTTGGCCCTTGGCTGGTGTCTGGGCGCTTAGATTTCCCTAAATGCTGAGTGGCTTGCTGTGTTTAAATTGTAAAAACGATGTAGTTTATGCTAAATACTTGCTTTTCTTCTGGGAGTCTAGAATCTCGATATGTACTAGGCAGGGGATATCTACATGACCAGCCCCCAACGAAAACCTCGGACATTGAGTCTCTCAAGAGCTTCTTTGGTTGACAGCAAAGCATTTTATGTGTCAGCCAAAGTAGCAAAGCATTTTATGTGTCAGCCAAAGTGCTGGAGGAATTCAGCCTGTCCTGTGTGACACCACAGGGAGAGGACTTTTAGAAGCTTGTGCCTGGTTTCCTGTGGACTTTTTGCCCTATGAGCCTTTTCCCTTTGCTGATTTTGCTTTGTATCCTTTCACAGTAGTAAATCATAGCTGTGAGTACGACTATATGCTGAGTTCTGTAAATTTTCTTAAATCACTAAGTGGTAGAGTGGACTTAGAGACATCTTTACACAGTGCCACTTTTCTAAGCCACGTATATTCTAAGCTAGGAATATTCCCTTCATAAACCTCAGTTTTCGTGGATTTTTTTCGTTTATGTTTAGTGCTTAGAGACATAATTTACCTGCAGTGCAACATATAAATCTTAACTGTAGTTTCAGTTTTGACAAATGTGTTTACCCATTTAACTCACATTTTCATCACTCCAGAAAGTTCTTTATGCTCCTCAACTCTCCTCCTGCAGCCAGCTGCTCACTGATTTCTATTACTGTAGTTTTTTGTTTGTTTGTTTGCCTAAGAACTAGGCAAACAAACAAACAAAAGAACTGCATATATATGTGCTAACTATTTTTAAGAACTGCATATATATGTGCTAACTATTTTGGGTTTGGCTTCTTTTGCTCAGTATAAATTTTTTCCTTATAACTGTATTGTTTCACATATCAGAACATTCACCCATTTAAAGTGTACAGTTCAGTAGTTTTTAGTATATTCACAGAGTTATGCAACTATCATCACATCACCACCATCTATTTTTAGGAGTCTTTCAACATTCCAAAAGAAACCTCTTACTCATTAATAATCATACCCCTTTCTAACTTCTCCTTTCCCTGCCCTAGGCCCAGGCAACCAGTAATCTGCTTTTTGTATGTATGGATTTGACTATTATGGACATTTCGCATAATGAAATCATACAGTATGATCTTTACAACTGATTTCTTTCACTTGGCAAGGTTCATCAATGCTGTAGCATGTATCAAGTGCTTCATTCCTTTTGATAGCTGAATAATACTCTGTTGTTTGTATATATCACATTTGTTTATCCATTGTTCTGTTGCTTGACATTTAGATTGTTCCCCTTTTTGACAACTATGAATAATGCTGCTATATATATTTGTGTAAGTTTTTGTGAGGACGTATGTTTTCATTTTGAGGGGGGCATATACTTGGGGGTAGAATCACTAGGTCATATGATAACTCTGTATTTAGCATTTTGAGGAGCTGCCTCATTGTTTTCCAAAGTGGTTGCACCATTCTACATTCTGACCAGCAATATATGAGGGTCCAAATTTCTCCACATCTTCAATAACATTTGTTATTGTTTTCTTTTTTATTTCAGCCATACTACTGTGTATGAAATGGTGTTTCATTATGGCTTTGAGTAGTGAGTGATTCCCTACAGAATAATGATGTTAAGCATCTTTTCATATGTATGTTAGCTATTTTTATATCTTCTTTGGAGAAATTTCGGTTTAAATTTATTTGCCTACTTTTAAAATTGGGTTCTTTTTCTTTTCATTGTTGACTTGTAAGAGTTCTTTATTATTCTTGATCAAGTTCCTTATTGGATAATGATTTGCAAATATTTTTTTTTTCCATACTGTGGGTTTCTTAAAAGTATCTTTTGATGCACAAAAGTTTTAATTTTGATGAAATGGGTTTCTTAAAGGTATCTTTTGATGCACAAAAGTTTTAATTTTGATGAAATGCAATTTATCTCTTTTTTCTTTTGTCACTTGTGTTGTTGATGTCATACTTAAGAAACCATTTTCTAATACCAGGTCATGAAGAGTGACTCCTGTGTATTTTTTCTGAGTTTTATGGGTTTAGCTCTTACATTTAGTTAATGAACACATTTGAGAATATGGAATTTCTTCTTATTGTGGCTTTGGATGCATCTTGTAAATTAATGTTCTCAGTTTCATTTTCTAAACGGTTTACAACCTGTTGTTTTGAAGAATTTATTTTTACATTTGGTTATAGGATGCTTTTTAAATTGTTTAATATTTGGTTGTTAATTTCTGCTTTTATGAACTTTATACACAAATTGGACCATTATAAACTTTCATAAGTTTGAGTTTTTAAGGTTGTTTTTTTGCTCAAAATATTCATTTTTATAACTGTCCTCTGACTGCTTTTAAACTTTAACATTAAATGTACTTGAAATAATCCAGTTTTATTATATTATTGATATTACTCATGTTCTAATTTTTAGGGCTGTTAAGTTTGCCAAAAATTGAGTAGTGTGTTTATTTTCTTTTAAATGATTATTCTCTTTAATTTTTCCTATTAGTTTTTACTTCTGCATGTTTTGAAATTTTATCTTACATAATGGCAAAAAATGTTTCTGTAACATTTCCTGATTTTACTGATTTTATTTCCCTCTTTATAAAATTTTAGATTTTTCTTATAGTGCACCTTTTTCTAAATTTGCCCCTTACCCCCTTTTTTAAAAAATTGCTTATGCTAAGGAAAAACCTAGTGGGGTACTGGGTCCCTTTGCAGGTGTCTCTCTAGCTCTCACTTCCTTTTGTATCAAAGTTTTAAAAAGTTGTTTACATTCTCTCTTTTCTACATTATTTCCTTTTAGTGAATCTTTAATCTATTAATGCTAGGTTGCTACTACTGTGGATCAAATGATTTTGACATGGAAAAGAACAACAATGATGCTAAAATTTTAGACATCACTGTAGCATTCGATGTTGATTTTTACTTATTTATAAGCTTATTCTGCCATTGTTAGTTGGGACAACACATTTATTTTTTATTTTATAACTTAATTTTGATATTTCAAACTTATAAAAAGTTGCATGATAGTACTTGGGAAGGGTTCCCATATATCTTGTACTAGATTCATATGCATATTTTTCTGAACCATTTGAGAGTAAGTTGGAGACATCTTGTCCCTTTCTCTCTCAATACTTCACAATGTATTTCCTAAGAAATAAGGACATTCTCTTATCTAGCGAGAAGATAGTTATTAAATCAGGAATGTTAGCAGGGATACAGTCTAGTTTATAGGCTATATTCAAAATTTATAAATTATCTCAATGTTTTTTTATAAAAGCCGCTTTTTCCCCCTCCCAGTCCAGTATCCAGTCCAGGGTCATGTATTGCATTTAGTTGTCATGTCTGTCTAGTTTCATTTAATTTGAAACAGTTCCTCAGCCTTCTTTGGATTTCTTTCTATCTATCTATCTATCTATCTATCTATCTATCTATCTATCTATCTATCTATCAATCATCTACCTACCTACCTACCTACCTACCTGTCTTTCTATCTATGTAATCTATCCTAATGTATTTATTTTGGTAGACTATCACTGCAATGATGTCCTGTTGTCCTCAGTGCATCCTATCAGGAGGCTTACGATGTCTCCCTGTTCCAGTATTGATGACGTTAGCCTTGATTAGTTGCTTACGATGTCTCCCTGTTCCAGTATTGAGTTAGCCTTGATTAGTTGCTTGAGTTGTGTCTGTTAAGTTCTTTCGTTGTACCGTTATATTTCTCTTTTCTAATTTGTGTGAGCTACATTTAGAATAGGTAAATATCATGTGTCTCATTAAGCTTTCATGTTTTAATTTTAGGATCTATTAGTGATTTCCTAACTCCATCATTTCTCCTATAATTATTAGTTGGCATTCTACTAACAGGAAGAGCTTTCTTTTTTATTTTCTATTTATTTATAGGCTCATGGATTCTTATTTTATTCAATGGTTGTAATTCAGTACAACCATTATTTTGACACCCCATTTGTCCCAAATTTGGCCAGTGGAAGCCTCTTTAGACTGTCTCCTGAGTTATTTTAGTATGGTCCCATGATTCTTTGACCATTTATTTATACTCTGTGACCCAGGAATATGTTCCAGGCTTACCTTGTACTTTCCTGGCCTCAGCTCTGGAATAAGCCATTTCTTTAAGGTTATTTTTAATAGCAGATGGTATTTAGAGGTCCAGATCTTAGAGTTATGGTGTGCTCATTCGTACTGAGGTATTATTGCATCTAGGCCCTTCTAGTGTACTGAACTAGGAAGAGTGTGTGTGTGTGTGTGTGTGTGTGTGTGTGTGTGTGTTAAAAACCAGAAGTTAGTGTTGATATCTTATTTCTATTTATTATCATAGGGTACATTCTAGTCTCCCACATTGACATGTTTGCAGATCCTTTTTTTAACAGTGAAAAACCTGGGTCCCTTGTCCTAATTTATTCAGTCTTTGAATACATCGAAAGGTAGTTTCAGAATTTTTAAACCCATACCACCACAAAAAAATTACTGAAGTTCAAGATTTCTATATAATTTTTAGAGGTAAATTAACATATGTGAAATGCACAGATCTTATGTGGTCAGTGTTTTGAGTTCTGACTCATATTCTTTGTCCTCTGAGAGTTCTGACTTTTTCTTCTCAGTCTCCTTTGCTGGTTTCCTATCCGGTGTTCATCCTCAGTATTGTTCTATGCAGGTCTTCCTGCCGCTGCCTTTTCTATCAGTCTGTGTTACACCTATTTGCATGATAGTGTCTGCAACTAGAGTCAGAACCAAGATTAACTCATTTTTGTAATCCTAGAGCCTCTCATAGTCTTAGGCATATATGGAAGGTGCTAAACAGGTGTTTGAATGAAAAAAAAAAAAAAACACAGTCATATTGCTGATGTTGATTTATAAGTTGTATGTAGAAGCTTTCTTTGAGAATCTTGAATAAATAAGAGGTTGGATTTGTATAATGCCAGAATAATAATCTTATTTCATCATTTCTAATGCGTGCCTTTATTTATTTATTTATTTATTTTTTTACATTTTATCCTCTGTGAAATTGAGATATATCTTGCGCATTTATTTATTTATTTATTCATTCATTTATTTATTTATTTACATTTTATCCTCTGTGAAATTGAGATATATCTTTGTTGATGTCTCTCAATATTGGTCGAGTCAGGTGTGAAAAATTCCATTGATGTCTAGGTAGAGAGAAAACACCAACATGAAAATATCTTAAGATTTAATGAAATATGGTAAAGTTATTTTGGCCAGTTCTGCCACTGTATAAGAAGATTTTTGGAGCAGTGTAAGGTATAAAAGACAACTTGAAAATTCCTTAATGTTGGGATTGGGGGGTACAAGTTGAAATGAATTAGCTTACTTGTCTTTATTACATAATAGCAAATTGCTGGGTTATCCAGCTCCACAAAAGACAGGACTGTGAGATCCTAGAGAAAGGACTTGGTTCTGTTCGTTGCCCTACCTCCATTGAATGACAGTAGCTTTCTAGTATCTATAAGATGGCTGAGTGCTTATTTCAGCTCTAACTGATAAACTTCAGTGCTGTTTCCTTGCCTGAGAACATGGCAGTGGCAGAAGTCTCCCTTCAGGGAGTCCTGTTCTGAGCGCTCCGACCGGTAATGCTGGGGAACTCCTTTGTCTTAAAACCCAAGAGACTGTAGAACTCTGATGGGTCTGAATGTGTTGTGACTTCTTTTTATTTCATTTGTCAATTAAAAAAAAAAAAAAAACACTTATTTTCTTTATCAACAGGAGTGAAACCTCGATCTGGCTGGTCTATTGATCCTTTTGGACATTCACCAACAATGGCTTATCTTCTGAAATGTGCTGGATTTTCTCACATGCTTATCCAGAGGGTTCATTATGCAGTTAAGAAACATTTTGCATTGCAAAAAACACTGGAGTTCTTTTGGAGACAGAACTGGGGTATGTAGGGTTGATAAAAGTTGAAGATCTCACTTGACTTAGATGTTATTTTGCAGGGGTTATGAACTCATACCATTAAGGGTTTTATTCAGAGTGTTAGTCTTGAAAATCAGGTTGCCTAAAGATACAAATTTTTAGAATTATTTTTCCAGTGCATTTGTGTCAAAATTCTTTTAAGCAGTGGTGAAGATATTTATCTATAGAAAATTGTAGGTTCTTTTTTTATGCCTAAAAGAAATAAACATAAGGAATTAGTCTTTTGCAAATAATGCTTTCACTTTCACTTTTAAAAGCACCTGTTTTATCACAAAATTGAACATGCATCAGAACTAATATCAAGTCATTTATCTCATATTCAGCCAGTGTTTCTTCTGCCTCTCCTGTATCTGCATCTAGTAAGAATTGCTTTTTAAAACCTTAATCCTGTCCTCCCAGAACAGCTCTCATATTACCTATATTGCTTGTTTCTGTACTTTGTTTTGTGGACACCCTGGCTTTCCAAGGACATAACTTCTACAGCTCTTTGTTGAGAGAGAGGAGACAAGATTTAGGCCTCTTGGGAGACCTGTGCCTTTTCCACCCCCATTTAAAATTCAGAACACCTTATTTTTTAATTCATTTTTATTTATCGAATCTTTATTAGGGGCCACACATTGTGTTATCTGCCATATATTCAGTCTCTCGTTGGATCTTTAACCTTTTAAATTAAGATCTATTATTATCCCTTTACATAGAAAAGAAATGGAGACTTAGAAATGTAAAACCATTTGCCAAAAATCATACAGTTGGTAGGTACAGAGCCAAGATTTGAATCTAGATCCGTGCAGTTCCAAAGCCTGGGCTCCTAACCCTCTATATATGCTGCCTTCACAGTATTGAGTTCTCAGATTTCATCTAGAAAAAAATATTTATTTGCTAAAATAATGTGCAGAATTTACTGCATTATGTTACCCTTACTTTCCTTTGTAATCTAAAACCCTTCTGAAGTGTAAATCTAGATAGTAACTTTCTTATATATATGTACTGCTGTTTTTTCAATAAGGAGAGAAATTAGCTATATAATTTTTTTATTTTGGAAAATTAAACCTATAGGGAAAACAAGAACTTGTAGGGGGTCGCATCCTGTATAGTTTGATCAAATGCAAAGGAGCATATTAATTTTTAAAAAAGGATTATTAATTAGAAGATGCCATACTTAAACTATTGCCTACATTCAAATTGCCCATAAATATTAGCAAGAAATTACCAAGTATTTTTATATAGATAATACCGTGCTAAGAAGAAATACAGAAAACATCCATGGCTATAAGGAAATTAGTCTAATTTGATAAAAGACAAACAACACCAAATGCAGGAGATAAACTGAAATGTGTAAATGAGCTGCTAAATAGTGTGGTGTCAGGAGAAATAGTGGGGTGTTAAGAATGTCCTTGATCATGGGAGAAAGGAGGAGGAAGATTTCTATCAGTTCTGGGACTTGTAACAAGCTTTGTGCAGATAGCAAGCATTAGTGACCAGCATCCATGGTGTCACATTCATGAATGTGATTCCGTGAAACAACTGACAGCACAGAAATAATACATATTATAATAGCTTTAAAATTTGAAAAAGAACTAGTAATTACTTAAATAGAATGTGAGGCAAAACAAGTATTTTAGGACTTATCCGATAGATTTGAATATGTTGCTTTAAAATTATGTTTTGGAATTAAGTTGAGCTTCTTTGTGTGTTCTCATTCTTAATAAAGCAATTATTTTCATTTTTTAAAATGTCAATATTGCTTTTTGTTTTTTCTTTTGTCTTTATTATAAAAGCAATGCATACTCATTCCTAAAATTGGAAATCCATACATAAATAAAGGGAGAGAGCTATTTACAGGTCAGGATCATACAAAGATAACCACTTTTAAGTCCTAGTTAAGCCCTCCAATCTTACTTGGTGGTTGGCTTCTGAACTCAAGGGCAGGTATATCAACACATACTAGCATTGACATTTTAATTCTAAACTATTTTGCATCAGGAATCCGTGCTTGTTTTCCATATGTTTTTTGTTTGCTTGTTTTTATTCCCTTTCTTGTTTTTGAAAATTACTTTTACTTTTCCTGTGCTCTCTTCTTGGTAAAAAGTTCAATTGGTCAGCATTTGGGGAGACTCCATGAATTCTCCAGGTTTTACTTCCTTCTTACTGCAAGAAGTGGAAAGGAAGTTGCTCAGTATTTTTACAAGCCCCCATTTATTCCTTTGTTCTTTCAATTACCCCATTTATTTCCTGTCTCTCTTCTCACCCAGCCTCTGCAGCTAATGGTCTCTCTCAGTGTGTTCTGTTACCTGAGGTGAGAACAGTGTGGCAGGAGCTGGCAACCAGAGATGGACACAGCCATAATTTTGGATGAGCTGGTTATAAATTTTGCTTCTGCTCAGTTTGTATCCTTCCAGGTCAGCAGATGCTGGTTCATAAAGGGGCTTTTCTGTCTCTACTAAGTTTAGATATAAGAGGTAGATAGAGACAGATGTATCTTCCTTCAGGCTGGTAGTCATTGAATGCCGCTGGGATATATGTACTAGTAGTTAAAGGGGTTGTTTACTTAGGGCAGAGCTTGCATTCTATGTATATAAAGTACTGGCATTTTGAACAGTTTGGGGAAAACAAAATATATAAATGCAAATTTGTCTGTTGGTTCTTTATTTTAGATCTGGGATCTGTCACAGATATTTTCTGCCACATGATGCCCTTCTACAGCTATGACGTCCCTCACACTTGTGGACCTGATCCAAAAATATGCTGCCAGTTTGATTTTAAACGGCTTTCTGGAGGCAGATTTGGTTGTCCCTGGGGAGTGCCCCCAGAAAAAATAAACATTAGAAATGTTGAAAACAGGTATGAAAATATCTATTCATAAGAATACCCTGAACAAGCAAGCATTAGTTGCTTGTTGCTAAAGAGTTGAATAAATGGGTTTCAGTAGCCAGCATTATCCTCATTCAAAGTATTCGTTCAAACCAAATCTAAAGCAGCTTAAAAATTCCAGAGCTTTGATGATGCCTCTTATGTGTCAGAACTTAATGGAAAGTGAACAATAGTAGATCAATATACAATGGATAACCTATAATGTACTATTATTACCATTTTCTTTGCCTTCATTATAAAGTGTTCTACTGTATTTGATTGATTTCATATATTTTTGTTGATAATAAAACTTCTGGTCTCTATTGTATAAATTGGTAAGAAAAGCAACCCAACTGCAAAAATACATTTATTGAAATGGAACGCATAAAGAGTATAATTATCTGTTCCCTTAATAACAGTTTTGGTGGTAGTGAATGCTGCCTAACCCTGATAAATGCATACATCTTTGCATGTATACATTCAATGGTTTTGACTTACAGAAAACTTTAATTGGAAATATTTATACTTAAAGATATTTAAATAAAAATCAAAGGAATGAGTCATTTTTTAAAAGAAAACTGTGCTAATGATGGCATTATTAAACCGTTACCTTTAGTTCTAATATTGACGCTTTTAAATTTTAATTTCTTTACTTAAAAATTAGTGGCCTATAATGCATTAAAATAAAACATTGTATTATAATATAAACCACTCAACTCTGCTAGGAAAATAATACATCCTTTTAAACAAAGTAAGATCTTTGCACTGTGCTTTATCAAATCTATTTATTTAAAAAATTGCTTTTAAAATATGTGCGAGGAGGAAGATGAGATTGTGTTTCTTTGCCTTGAGTGGTCCTTGTGGTCATAAACAAAATAGTCCAGCGTGAACCTCTCACTGTGGCAGCCACAGTAGTATCTTAGCATGGCAGCCTTCTTGAAACCATGGAGCCTGTCTGTCAAAATCTGACTTTCATAGTTGTTTTGAAAAACTGTCCAAGATTAGAGTTCGACCTGGTTTCATTTTCTTGGTTCCTACAGCAGTGAGAATCAATAAGGAATACTTAACAGCCTTCTTTCATGGATTTGGTTAGTTAGACAGAAGAGAATAATCCAGTATATTATATAGCAGAAGATGTGAAAAGAAAAGTAGGGAGCTTACCTGTTTACTTGGGAAAACAGCTGTTTGTCACTGAATCAGGTATTTATACTACACTCAGCTCAGGTGGTCAAGGATAGGGAATTTCTTAAAACACTGGCACATGCTTCAGTTGGGGAGTCCCAGTACACCTGTAGGTATTGTGAGGCCCCTCTTTTACTTTGTTGGGTGCTATGGAAAGTACCTGAGAGCTATTTTGTATAATCCTTTTTTGAGTCATCTAACCCTTCAGAGATTGCCCTCCAAAAACATACCTTGTGCTCACTCAGCTCCAGTGATTCTGAGAGTGGTTTCTAGGCACCTGGGGACATATGAATGAATGAATCTATATAACACTTATGTAGATTTTTTAAAAACTTCTGATAAGTCTTGAAATCTTAACCCTGCTGGTTACTTTGAATCTAAATGTCACCTTTCTTTTGACTTAGTGATGAATGGAAATCCAGCATAGACATTCCAACTTAGCAGCACTTGACGTTTTAATACCCTAAAGAAAATGAGATTTAACTATAATATGCAGGTGACATGTTTGAGACATTCAGTTCAGCATGTTTCTCTACTTCGCAAGTAATTCTTCATCAAGTTCAGTTTTTGGTCTAGTACCATGTATTTTACATATGTGATGATTTACATGTCAGATGATTTGATGTTTCAGGGAATTTTTTTTTCTTCTTGGTTCTAGTTAAGTTGACATTTCTTACCTGGTAGAATAAGTGAAGAGCAAATTGCAGCTGCGCATCTTCAAATGTGATGCTGGTCAATTCGTTCATCATTAGTTTACCATACATTTAGTGAGTATCCACTGCCTACTAGGTGGTGTAGGTTTGTTCCTTGGCTTTCTCAGTGTTAACACTTTCTGAGCAGGAACTTGCGAGTTAGGATAGATGTTGAATGAAAAGGCCCATTATTAATGTTTGTGATTTCTTTCCTTTTCTGTATTTTATACAGGTACATACAAGCTATGGTAATATCTAGTAGTAAACCTTGAGATGCACTTAAATGATCAAATATCTGTTTTCATGCTGGTTGCCTAAGGAATCTAGTTGAAAACAGTTTAGGAAATGATCATATAAAAATATTGTATGCCAGTCTCAATTTAGTTATATGTTTTTTCATAATTTCTATAAAATGATTCTTTCCATCATTGATGTTCTTTGTGTTTCTTTCATAAGTTTTTATATCATGTATTGGAATGTACTTCCAGATAATCTTTGAAGTAAAAATTTGAATACTGGATAAAAAGCATATTTGTCATTTGTCATTAATTTCTTAAGCTTTGGCGTTATAAACATGGAGAACTATTCTTGTTCATGTTTGTTTAATTTCATTTTCACAAGCCCTCCTTAGTTTGTATTCTCAGACTTCTTCAAATGATGCCCAATTCAGTATTTCCCAAAGAGTTTTCTGTAGAATACTAGAATATAAACCATAAAACATATTAGCATATTGTGCTCAGCTGACCTTTGAGACATGAATTAGAGTCCAGGGAGGTAGAAACTAAAATAGGTCAGTCAACTTCTAAATTTTATCTATTGATCAGTATTGAGAAGGATGGCATGACAGATATTTGACGGCAGGTGTTAAGTGAGTTGATTTTCTTCCTTTAGAAAAGGAAATACGGTTCTATAATTGGTTTTATTCAAAATATTATACTTTTTAATGTTTAATCAGACAGTTTTAGATTAAATTAATAAAAGGGATAGTAAGTCATGGCAAACTTCAGTGGTCATATAGAAGAGAAATCCTTATCTTCTTGGACTAAATTATTTTCAAACACAGACTATCTGGGATCTGATCTTTGTTGCCGGCCTTTAGGGGACATTGATGCCTCATGTAATAATTATATGCCAAAGTTGGTATGTGACTTTATTACTCTAAGGGTAATCCTTTGGAAAACTATAGGTTTTTCCTCTCTGATAAAAATTTTTGAATACTTTAAATGGATAATGAAAATTAGTATGGTAGTTTAAAAAAATTTGCCTCATAAATCATATTAACCTAGAATATAGGTGAAGCATACAGTAATCTCTTTTAATATACTGCACGTTTTAATGAGTTGCCCCATTGTTCTTTTCTTAATACTATTCGTATGTTCCCTTTTTTCTTTCGTAGGGCTAAGATGCTTCTAGATCAGTACCGAAAGAAGTCAAAGCTTTTCCGTACTACAGTTCTCCTGGCCCCACTCGGAGATGATTTTCGCTACTCTGAAAGCACGGAATGGGATCTTCAGTTCAGGAATTATCAGCTGCTTTTTGATTATATGAATTCTCAACCTCAGTATAATGTTAAGGTAATGAGAAAATAATTAATTATGATAGTGTATTTGAAGTCAAGTGTACACTATTAAATGAGGCTAAAACACAATAGCCTTAGTTTCTTTGTCTTGCATCCCAGTATTCCTTAGAATATATAGTTCTTATGAAAAAATGTTATTCATTTAGAGGAATATTATCTTATACTCTAGTTCCATTTCCAAAGTTTTCCATTTCCTACCACTCCATGAAGATTAGAGAGCCGTTACTTTTATGTGGGTGAAAACACGTACCTACTAGCTTGTGATGTTTGTTTTTCAATGATGTCCTGTTTTTCTACCAGCATTGACAGTTTATTGTTTCTCCCTGACAGTTGCATTTTTGTGATTTGGTAGTGTGACTGGCAGATGCAGATGAACATGGCATGAATTTTGTAGACAAATGACTTGTGTCCAGAGAACACACTAGCATTTTTCTTAGATGAGACTTCTAAACTTAACCATTTGCCTGTAGTTCTTACTTTCTTTTTTTTGTTCTTGTGAAAAATTTGAAATGTACCCTAAAGTTTTGAGAATAATACAAATACATCCTCTGCCCCCCACAATCCATGGCTCATTATAACATTAATTAACTCAAGATCACTTTTATTTCACCTGTGTCCCACTGTCATTTCATCCCTCTCGCTGGGATTATTTTGGAGCTAATTTCAGATGTGATCTAGTTTCATCTGTAACCATTTCATTATGTATTTCTAAATGATAAGGACTGCTAAAAAATATCATTTGAATACCATTATCACATCTAAAATGTTAACAATAATTCAATAATATATATCTAGATAGATTCAAATTTCTAAATAAAAGCAATTTGTTAACATTCTTTGTGGTAGTCAAGATTAAATCAAGAGTCATATGTTAGACCTTACATGAGAAAATTAATTATACATGTTTATTATATTTACATGTTAACCACTCAGACAGTAGAAAATCTGTGAAAATACTGTGGAAAGGAAGTGATGTTATTGTGTCGGAAATTAGAAAGCTGATAATGGACCACATTTTATGTAGTGAGAATTCAAGTTTATTAAGTAAACTTAAATAATATCAAATAAGTAAATAAACTTAAATAAAATATCAAGTTTATTCAAGATACTTACAAATGAGTTTCTACCAGATTATGAACTCTGAGCATCAGGACTTTGTTTAAATTATCCCTATAATTTCCTTAGAGATGAAGCTCATGCATGAACGTTTGCTAAGAGGAGGGCATATGTATGTGGGTATCTTATCTCTAAATACACCTTCCTGGAGAATGGTTTTGAGGTCTGTAAAAGGATTTACACTAAAGAATTAAATCCTGATTTTAGTATTTTATCTATTTTCTCCCCGATTTGCACACTAGAACAATTTTTTAAAGTAATTTTTAAAGTTGAAGTATCATACATGTAAGAGAAGTGCACAAACCATAAGTGTACAGAGAAATTTTTCAAGTTTAAAAACGCCCAGGGTCTACGGCCATGCCACCGTGAACAAGCCTGATCCCATCTGATCTCAGAAACTAAGCAGGGTCGGGCCTGCTTAGTACTTGGATGGGAGACCACCTAGGAAGACCAGGTACTGTAGGCATAAAAAATTAAAAATAAATAAATAAATAAATAAATAAATAGATAGATAGATAGATAGATAGATAGATAAATAAATAAGGGATTGTAAGCTGACAAGGTCCTTGCAATCTGTGAGGTCAACCAAGGGTTGCATCGCCTAAAAAAAAAAAAAAACCCATGTAACAACCACCATTCAGATCAAGAGGTAGAACATGTGCAGCACCCCAGAAGAGTCCTTTCGATGTCCTCCAAGTCATTACCAACTCCTGCAAAAGTGACCATATTTTCACTTCTTATTATTGTGATTGCCTCTTTTTAAATTTTTTGTATTTCTCTGGTACTTAATGAATTTGAGCTTCTTTTCATAAGTTATTGCCATTTGGGTACCCTCTTTTGTGAAGCTTCTATCTATGTAAGTCTTCTGATGGTTTTTTAAAGATTAAATTAGGTTGCCTGTCTTTTTCTTACCTTCTATAGTTCCTTTATATATTTTGGATTGGGTCTTTTTTTCAGATAAAAGTTATGCAGATATTATCTCCCACTATATAGCCTATGTTTAATTAATGCTGTCTTTTGATGAACAGACATTCTTAACTTTAATTAAATCTAATATAACAGTATTTTCCTTTATGGCTAACACTTGTTATGTTCTTATGAAAATATCCTCTAGAAACTTTATTGTTTTACCTTCCATATTTAGATCTACAGTCTATTTGGAACTGATGGTTGTGAATGTGTGATGATAGGGATCAAGATACATGTTTGCCCATATGGATATCCAGCACCATTTGTTGAAAAGATCACAGTTTGCCCACTGCAGTGCAACGTCATCTTTGTCTCATTAATCATGAGTGAGACTACATTTGTATGGATCTGTATCTAGACTCTCTATTCAGTTTTGTCTATTTGGCTAATCTTACACTGTCTTAATTACTCCAGCTTAATAGCAGATCTTAATATCTGGTAGTATAAATCTTCTGATTTTGTTCTTCTCAAGATTGCATTGGTTATTCACAGTTCTTTATAATTATTTTTTGTTGTTGTTAAGTTGCTTTTTAAAAATATTTTATTTTATTAGTTTCAAGTATACAGTACATTGGTTAGACATTTTAATAGTTTATAAAATGATCCCCCTAATTGCTCTTTGTCTCCTCTGGCTCTCCACCTAGCCATTACGTTAATACTAATTGCATTCTATGCAGGCTTAGGATCAACTATTTAATGTCAATCAAAAAAAGTTGAGACTTTGGGATTGCATTGACTCTGTGGATCAATTTGAGTACAATTAACTTCTTTACAAATATTAGGCCATTTAATCCATAATCATGGTATAGTTCATGTATAAAAATACAGTTGACTTTTGCATTTTAACCTTGTATCCAGTAACCTAGATGCATTTTCTTTTTAGATTTTTTTTTCCCCTCAAGTCCTGGCTGCCTTGATTGCCCTTAGATATCGTCAAACAAAATCTTTATTCTTTGTGTAGTTTAGCTATGTCTGTTTTCAGTGGGATAGAGATATTTAAAGTTACTCTGTCTAATCTGAAAGCCTTGAGTTTATTATTTATTTTAATGAAAGGAAAATGAGGAGTAATTGAATTTAGATGGCTAAAAAATTGGCATCGTATATTAGCCAAGCGAGCCAGTTTGCCAGTGATCATCACTTATTTAACTGTTTATGTAATTTTTCTATGCGATGTCCTGATAAAGGAGTTTAAGGTTAAGGTTATGCTTATGATTTAATTTGTTGCTTTTTAATTTAAAAATCTCTAAATATTTCTATTTGGTTATATTTTAGGTGTACCAAATATTTACTTCATTTGAGCTACCAAGAGACTCTATAGAAAAATTTACTTTAAATAATTTCTTTTGAAATTACTCTAGAATGGATAGAGGATTATATTTCAGCCCTTTAAGACTGAACTAAGATTGTGAGAAAGCCCACTAGACAACTTACATAAACTTTGCTCTGGGAAATTGCAAAGTAGAGTATATTTTCATCTTGGCTAATAACAAAATTAAATGAAATATTTTTAAAGGGTATAGTCCATTGTTAATATTAACTGCAGCATTCTGTTGTTTCCTAAAATTTGAAACTGAAAGGGATTTTTGTTATCTAATAGAAATCCCTTATTATATAGGTGAACAAAGTATAACTTTAAAATATTTAGATCATTAAATATTCTGCCACTATTGTTATGTATACTTCCCTGAGCTCATCTGTACCTGTTGGGTCTGAAATTAATCTTGTATTTGAGACCCTCATTTCTTGTGTGGTTACACACACAAATACTTATATTCAACTTCCTAGTAATGCAATTGAGTAATAATACTTACAATATTAGCTAATTGAATGCTTATTATTTGCTATTGACTATTTAAAGTGTTTCACGTTATTTTTCTTAATTCTCTGACCATTTTCTGGTAAATACTATAATTATCTCATTTATACATGAGGAAACTGAGGCACAAATGATTAACTTGCCCAAAACACATTGCATTTGAGTAAACCTAGATAAGAGTAGATAATATAGTTGAAATTAGCTTTTCTTTACTATAAGCAGGATTTAGAAATAATCATCTATTTTGCTGTTATAAAATTTATTGTATCGCAATTAGATTATGACTTATTTCTGTCTTACAAATTTTGTCATCGTGTTTCCAGTTGAAATTTTGTATTTGCAGTGGGGAAATAACAGCTGAAATTTACACCATTTTATGCCATTTGTGTTTCTGAGTATTTTACTTAGAACCCTATTAGCTGTAACACAGAAAGACACATAGACAATATGTAATATGCTGAAAACCACATGTTAGGTAAGTGTTAGAGATAGAATTCAAACCCATGCCATCTGGATCCAGGTTCTGTAATGCTCTTAACCACTCTGCTACACATTGTTTAGAATTACTTTTTAATTATTTTTTTGCCACACTGAATCAAAACAGCTTTCATTGTGTGCGTGTGTATATATCTATAAGGTAGGAAACAACAAAATTAGCATCTTTCTATTAAAAGGAACATATTCCCTGTTGAATTCTTGGTTTATTTCTAAAACACTATGTTTTAATATCTGTTAACAGAGTCTGGTGTAATGTTTCTTCCTTCTTTTGATTTATAGAATAGTTTGGTCTTATAAAAATGGATTTATGTACTGGAAATTTAAATCATTAGTCAGAAAGACCTATTCATTTGAGCAGTCAACCTTGCAATTGTCATTCTTTGTGTTTTACTTCTCTATTCAGTGTTACCTGCTGATAGAGATAAGTCCATTTTTTTTTTAATGACCTGCTATTCTTGAAGTTTCTCTCCTTCCTCTTATAGGAACTCAAACTGGGGGGAAGGGGAGGCCAGGGAAGGGTATGTGCATATATGAAAATATTTAATGGCCAAGAAAACTTATTTCAGACTTCTGGGACATTTGCTCAAAATATGTCTTTTATTTTTGCTGTCTCCCTCTTCTTTCATCTCTGGATTACTCCATGTCCTGATTTTTGCACATTTTAAAATTATATGTAAGACATTTCCAGGTCCACAAATTTATAGATCTAAATAGCTCTTTTCGAACTGCTTAGGTGTACAAGTTTTTTCTTAGTTTAATTTGAGACTTGATGCAAGTAAAAGAATTACTGAGCATTTTTCCTCTGCTTTTGAGTTTTGTAAAATCTGAGCTGTATATTCATCTTTACTTGAAGCTTATCTTATTTATTAGTAACTTTTCCTTTCAGTGCAAAAGTAATTTTAAGATAGATATGAATAATTGAAGTATAACTTTTTTTTTTTACTAGATACAGTTTGGGACTTTATCAGATTATTTTGATGCCCTGGATAAAGAAGATGCAACCAACAGAAAGAATAGCCAATCAATGTTCCCCGTTCTAAGTGGAGATTTTTTCACTTATGCTGACCGAGATGATCATTACTGGAGTGGCTACTTTACATCTAGACCCTTTTACAAACGAATGGATAGAATATTGGAATCTCATATAAGGTACTTATACCTTTGGATAACCACATTTTTACTTACTTACTTCTTTAAAGTTATCATAGTCTTTTTATAGAGTTTTGCATAATAAACAACATTTATGGAGTGTTAGGTTGTGTTTTCTGAAATTTTAATGCAATCAGAGATATGTCTCCAAAGCTTAATCAAATTATTACATAGGTTTTTGTTCTGGAAGGAAGAGCAGTTTATTTAATTAGATTTTCTGGCAGTCATATTCTGTGTTTTGTATTTTTCTAATTAACTACCTGTATTATTGGCACATCATGATTATATTCAGTGATATCGTTATCTGTGTCTACAGGTCAGTAATCTGGCAAGCTAACTAATTGAAATGAGCATAGGTCAAAAGGGGCAAATAAGATCCCTCAGTAGCCAAAACGTGGGCCTGAAAATATATACTCTAAGATGAAGCTATTTTATATGTGGGAGAACTTTAGCAGTTCCACCTCAGTCCTTATTTATTTATTTGAAACACATTCGATAGGTGTGATTTTGTACTTAGAAGGACAAAACTTGAAAAAGATGAGAACTGATGGTGGCAGGGTGAAAGAAAACCAAACCGACATTGAGAAGATAGAGAAGTCAGTAGAAAACATAAAAACACTCAGTACCAGCATTATCCAGTAGAACTTTTAATCACTGTCCAAGAGAACTTCCTGCAGTAATAGAAATATTGTATTTCTGCACCGTTTAGTGTGGTAGCCACATGTAACTATTGAGCACTTGAACTGTGGCCACTGTGACTGAGGGACTGAACTCTTAATTTCATTTAATTTTAATTATTTCACATGTAAATAGCCACATGTGTCTAGTGGCTACCATAGTATAGAGTATAGTTCCAAGTAACTGAGTCTCATTTTTGGTAAAGATAAATTACCCTAGTGACTCCTGAGGCTTTTCACATGCGTGTGTAGCCCAGGGGAGTAATTAATTTTCATGATGAATTCATTTTCAATTTAGCTCAAATCATGAATTCATATGATTAATTTTCATGGCGAATCTCAGTATTAAAAGTAGAAAGTTATACTTACCCTCTTCTGTGTCCTAGTGAAAACAGTACATCTTGGAAAGCCTTTTTATAAAAAACGTGAATTTCTTCAAGAGTGGTAGTTTGATATAATAATGTGTGTTTTTTATTATTTTATTATTGTTGTGCTACTGTTATTATTTCAAAGGCTTAACATTTGACTGTGTTTTTAGATATTCATAAATGTGCCAGTTGGATACATGTTATTATATTTTTAATAAAATATTGTCCATATAGAGATTTATGTGTTTTTACCTAATAGAATGCTAATTAGTTCTGTTATGTTATTCTGAACTATCAGTAATAATAACAGAGCTAATTAAAGTAGTTATTTTGGACCACTGAATGATTTTTAAGTGTCAGATATTTTTTAGTGGCAAAGATTTATGAATGTTGGTTCAGTCTTAATTTATCGAACATATTCAAGGTGAAGTAGTTACTACTGGTGATATAGTTTAAATGTTTTGCTGCTTTAAAACAAACAACAAAAAATAATTGCGAATTGTATACTATAATTAACTTATTTGAAAATAAATTTATTGTCTGATATAGTGATATTCATCCTAATCCTCATTTTTAAAAAATTTGAATAACAGAAAAGTATAAAGAAGAAATATTCTTAAAGTTCACTTTTTTACATTTTGGGTTATCTATGTGTATGCTTACTCTTCAAAACCAGGAATATACACACATACACACACACATATACACATATATGAACATATATACATGATTTCCTTAATTTAAATTTGGTGATTTTCATCTGTGAATTTCAGAAGAGTTAGATTTAAAAGTAGAGATTATTTAGTATCTTTTCACTATTTCAACAATTTAAAGGGATTCATTTTTTTAAAAGCACTACAAATCTCTCCTTTTTCCTGATATTTTAATACATTTGCAAGCTACTTTGATTTTCCCTCCATCATGTTTAACGTGTTTTGCACAAAAAACCTTATATTTTTTACTTCAGCAAGTCATGGCCCTTTTTAAAAAACTTTTTAGAAACCTATCTTGAACTGTGTCCTCTGATGAAAAAACTAAAAGGTAAAAATTACAAACCCCCATATTTTTGCTGAAAAACTACTCTTAAAGTAACATGTTCTATTCTTTAAAATAAATGAGGAAAGACAGTGTATGTGTTATCATCTTTCACTTTATATTGCTAAATTCTCTATAGCTGTGATATGTTATTATTCAACACTTAGACTAGCTCTTGTCACTGAGCTATTGAGTTATCATTTTCTGGTTCACCATTTCTGTTACTCTCCCACTCATGTGATCGTGCATTTCCCCACCATCTCTCCTCTTAATGTACGTATGTGAGAGTAAATGGCTTTCTGGTGATGAAATTTATGGTAATGCCTACACTCCTCTTAGAAAGAAGAAAGGACAAACATTTCTTCAGTTCTTTCTGCTCTGTCGAGATATTTTTTCACTGTGTTATACATAAATAAACCTATCTTGCTGCCTGTGGGTACAGGCTTTCCAGGATCATCTAGAACAAGGGCCCTTTGTATCAAGATAGACATGTTGTTCTCTGATGACTGAGGATTTAGATTTATTAGTTACCTTTTTTAAAAAGATAAATTTACTTATTTAAATTAGTTTCAAGTATACAGTACATTGTTTAGACATCTGTAATGTTCATAAAACAATCCCCCCAATTGCTCCCTCCCTTCCCTGGCCCTCCACTTAGCCATCATATTAATGCTAACTGCATTCTCTCTTCCATGCTCCCCACGCCCAACTATCAACTACTAATTTGTACTTCTTTAACCTTTCAGCCCATTCTCCCAGCCTCCCAAACCCTCTCCCCTCTGTCCGTCACCAAATTGTCTACTATATTTGTGAGTCTGTTTTTGATTAGTTTGTTCTTTTTGTTCCTTAGATACCACATATAAGTGAAATCATATGGTATCTATCTTTCTCTGTCTGAATTATTTCACTCAGCATAATAACCTCTAGGTCCATCCATGTCGTTGCAAATGGTAGGATTTCATTCTTTTTTAATGGCTGAGTAATATTCCATTGTATATATGAACCATAAATTCTTTATCCAATCTTCTGTTGATGGGCATTTAGGTTGCTTCCATATCTTGGCCATTGTAAATTGTGTTGCCATGAATATTGGAGTGCATAGATCTTTACAAATTATTATTTTGGTTTTCTTTGGATAAATACCCAGAAGTGCAATTGCTGGGTCAAATGATATATCCACTTTTAATTTTTTGAGGAACCTCCATACTGTTTTCCATAGCAGCTGTACCAATTTGCAATCCCACCCCCAGTGGATGAGGGTTCCCTTTTCTCCTCATCCTCACCAACACTTGTTGCTTTTTGATTTATTGATGATAGCCATTCTGACAGGTGTGAGGTGATATCTCATTGTGGTTTTAATTTGTGTTTCTCTGATGATTAGCAACCTTGAACATCTTTTAATATGTCTATTAGCCATCTGTATTTCCTCTTTGGAGAAGTATCTGTTCAGGTCTTCTGCCCATTTTTTAATTGGACTGTTTGTTTTTGTTGTTGTTGTATAAGTTTGATACCTTGGTTTTATAGGAATGTTTGTTATCAATATCTTTCTTATGAATTCTTTGTACTGAACCTGTGGTTTCTTTAAAAAAAAATTTGAAAATGTAACAGTGACACCTTTTAGATAGTAAACCGAACTGATCGCTTTGAAATAAAATAATGACTATTTTATGCAATTAGGGCTGCTGAAATACTTTACTATTTCGCCCTGAAACAAGCTCAGAAATACAAGATAAATGCATTTCTTTCATCATCCGATTTCACAACGCTGACAGAAGCCAGAAGGAATTTAGGACTATTTCAACATCATGATGCTATCACAGGAACTGCAAAAGATTTGGTGGTTGTGGATTATGGTACCAGGTAATATAATTTTGAAAAGTGATCTTAAAACAAAATCTTTTAAAATTTTGGGTTATAAGCTTATATAATTTGACAAAATTGTTAATATATATCAGAGTACATTAATAATGATATCCCTTATAACTATTGCTATTAAAAAACACCAATTTTCAAAGCATTTTTCAAGAAATCTGTTGACAGAGTACTAGCTGTCCCGACTTTTTAATTGCAGAGTATTTTTGCAAATGGAGTGGTAAAACATTATTGTAAAAGTGGTTCTGTTTTCTCAAAAAACAGTGTGGTAATTATGGTACCTTCCTGACTAAGGATTTGGTATCAAAACGATAGTTAAAATTCAGAGAGATAAAAGAGCTGCACTTTATTGTATGAAAATTTAATTTCATCCTACTTCATGTCCAGTTGTTCTTGGATACCTCTTTTTTTAAAAAAATGGACATTGACACAAAAGAATAAGCCTAGAAGCATAGCCAGGAAGTACAGGAACCTAGAAACCTTGTCAGATATGGGTGAAATAAGGAATTTGGATGAAAGGATATAGTCTGGGTATTAATGGCAAAGCCATCTTCAACTCTTTGAAGGTCTATCAGATGAATGAGGTGTTTGACACTCAGTTATTTTCATAATGCCTAATTAAAAACAGTAAGTATAGGCTTCACAATAGCAGAGGATTTTGTAAACAGTGCCTCCCAATAATGGAAAGGCTTATCTTTTATGATAGAGAGATTTCGTGGTCTTAAAATCATGCTAGAGTTCAGGTTACCATTTATTAGGGTCAGTGCAGAGGAGATTCCTACACTGGAGAAGGAGTTTTGACAGTTGTTCACCACTGTTTACATTATTATTTCTTGCAGATTTTTTTGCTATCAGCAGTGGTATGCTTTGATGATATTTTTAAATCATTACAAATATGCCCTGATTTTCTTAAAATATAGATTTATAAAGTAAATCTATTTTTACATAAATATTCCCATATGTGAAAAGTGATAACAACACATAAAGTCATATTAAAAAAAGGATCCACAACTGTTACTTATAATAAGTGTTAATTAAATTTTTTAAAAATTTTTTGACTGCCTTTTAAGAAATTTGGGGAAAAAATATTCTTGAGGTTTTATTAATTGAATTAAGTCCTTAAAAATATATTCAAGGTTGTATCTTGACTACCTCTCAATTTTCTGTGGCAAATGTATTTGGCATCCATCTATTGAGGTTTAAGCTGAGCTTAAAGTAGAAAACAGTCACTAGATGATAATGATGTTGATATTTCTCCCTCAGAAAGCAATTTTTTTTTTTTTGGCCTCAGGCATTTCTGAAAGTAGGGTCAGATCTTCCATTTTTCCTTTTCACCTTTTCCTATCTTCATGGCTTATTGAGAGTTTAAATGGGAGGCTGTTTAGAATCAAACCAGAGCTCCTAAGAGGAAAAAGAGAAGTCATTCTCCTGCACTGCCTACTTTCTCTCTGGTTGCCATATTTGAAAGAGATTTGGATACAGGTCATTGAGTTTTCGCTACAAAACATTTCCTGTCTCATCATCTTTCCAGAAGGTGTCATTAATTCCTCCAGGTGTTTGGTATTACTTTTAGCTTATAAAAACATCCCTGTACAACATTGCATCTTACAAAAGAAAGAAATAGTAATTCTCAAATTGTACTTGACATTGTTAAATTTGCTTTGCAAGCACTTCACATTTCATTGAAAAGTCATAAACAATTATCAAATGATTATCACAGACATTTTAAGTTGGAAATTTCAAAACACAAGTAAGAGAATTATAAACAAAGAGGCAGCTAGCATAGGGTGTTCTCTTGTTCTTGGACTATTGACTACCGTTTATTCACATGTTGGCAGATATGTCCCTATGAAGAAATGTATGAGTTAGGGATGGCATTTGGCTGCTAGTAATAGCAACTCGAAACAGAATAAATCTTATCCTGCTTATTTTTATGCCGTATTAAAGAAGTCTGCAAGTCACTGGGTACAGGTATGACAGCTCCACAGTGCCATCAGGGCTCCAGACCCTTCTGGCTTTCTCTTCTGCCATCTAAGGGTGACTTTCAGAGTCAGGCTCTCAATGATAGGTTGGATGTTTATATAATTATAAGCTGGAGAGCAAGAATACATCATGGCATATTTGGAGATTAATCCTAATTATCAATTATCAATTAATCCTAATTGAAAATATTGTATACAGACATAAAAAATGAATTAGACTGGGACAGTATTTGTACTGGATGTTCAACTTAAAAGTGGATAGATAAAAGGCCTATGTGGAAGAGAAGAAATAAATGGTAATGAGGTCAGTTACAAAAAAAATTTAGAATTTGTCAATTCCTAAGTTCTGATTAAGGTATGTAAGAGAAAAAAATGAACAAAGTGAGAGTCCTAACATATAAATCAAACTTTGAATGACAAACATGACAACATTTTCTTGAAACACCAACGATGATAACAAACTAGTAAACTGATTCCTGATATTCTGCGAACTGTTCTATAATAATAGGGTAAGGGCATGTTTGGAAATTGGAGGCTCTGAGAAATCCCACATTGATGAAATGTTGAAACATTTAAAATTTTGTTTTATCCAGTATTTCCCAAACTTATTTACTGTGTTTAGTTTAGTTTTATTTTAACCAAAGCTTTATATATCCTGAGAAAGCATTTGGGGATTGCTGTGCTAGTTGTTAGTGCTCATCTCATTTGAAGAAAGGCACACACATGTGCTTTTTTGGATACGAACACTGATTCCTGGCATTCACTCGGTTTATCTAGTACTCTTTAATACGGTGTAATACATATAAGGTTTTAGCTGATGGAGAACATGACTTTTTTTCTGTAGGTACAGATGGCCTAATAAAGATAGACATGTAGATAATAAAAATAAACCTAAATTGAGGGACTTGTTCCTGTAATTGAATTGTATGCATTCATAGGGTCTTTTAGTCTGGTGAGAATGCTTGTTACCATCTAGGAAAACATTCGAATAGAATGAGAAATTTATCTGGATGATGGCCTGAAGTGAAATCCATAAGATTTTAATACTATAGTTATAGATTTACTATGTAAATATATTTAATTAATATCTTGTCAATCATGATCACTTTCATCTTTGAAGGTGATCTTAGTGCTCAAAAGTTATTAGTGCAAAAAAGTTACTTCTAATTCCTTTACATATTTTTGTTGTTGTTGAATGTCAATAAAAATGTTTTTAATGGATAGGTCAAAAATGGCTTCTTGTGTTGGGGAAGATAATATAATCACTCTATAAACATAATAGATTGATTCTGTTGGTTGATTGAAAACATGATTAGCAAAGTTTCTCTACAGATTTCTCCAGTATGAGTTTACTTAGGGATGTCTGCTCTATAAAGCTTTAAAGCAATAAAAGTGAACTTGAAAAAAACTTCAAGCAAGTTTCTTTCCATGTGTAGTGCTTCAACAATTACTGGTGATGTACCAAGATTATATTTCAGTATTGATTTTGAATCAGTTTATTCATAAGCATCCTTTGGTTCATGAGATATAAAAATACAGTTTGAGTAGTTAACAATTTTAATTACGAAGGCAGGTAACAAGGACAAAGACAATGTAATTATTCAAATCTGTGAAAAATGTTCTTTTCTCTAGTTTTGAACAAGAACATAAATAAATCCAACAAAATAATCTACTTGAATTCTTCAGGAATTTGAATTCTTTAAAGTGTGTATACCAATTGAATTTTGTTGTGAATGAGAGTTAAATCTCATGTCTTCTTTTGTTGTGTCAATTCTTGTTAAAGATTTATCTAAGGTAAAATATTAAATCAGTGCTTCAAAAACCTATTGGGGTAATCATGCTGGATATTCTTATTTGGCATAATATTCCTAGAAAATGTAAGTAGTTTGAATAAGTTTATATGTTTCTGGTATGTTCAGAAAGTTTTCTGTTTAAAATGAGTCCTTATCAATGATATCTTTTGAGTCACTATTTTTTTCTAAGTTTTTAGTTTTGGTCAAAAAAGAGCCAGTTTATCATAGGTTCATTATAGGTTTCACTTTGTGAATATAGGATGAAGGTAATGGTGGTTTGACCATTATTAAAGAAATTGAAAATATTGTATACAGATTTTTTAATTACTTAGACTAGTACAATTTTTGGTTCACAGACTCTTTCATTCATTAACGAATTTGAAGAAGATAATCGGACATTCTGCACTACTTCTTATTTTGAAGGACAAACATGCATACGACTCTCCCTCTTTTGATACCCTCCTAGAAATGGTTAGTTGCTATCTCTTGTATTTCTTACAAAAATGCGTGATTCTTTTGTTCTTGGATTGGAAAAGCAAGCGAGAAGCTTAGTGAAAAGAGACATTGAAAACTAATCATTTCTTTGTATATTACTTGGAATTTGTATCACTTTATATAAATTACCTGTGTGTTCTTCTTTCCTATTAGCGTGTCTATATTTGATTCGTGGTGTGTATTTTGTTTGAACCAAATCAAAGCATGAAAAATAAAATAAAGAACTTACTTCAAGATATGTGAAACATATAGGCTTTTAGAACACTAGGATAATATATTGTAAGGTAATTACACTTATAATTAGTTATTTTATTTGGCTTTAATTGAAAGCCCCTTGATATTTGAACTTCCGTAAATCCTTAATCTGTTCTTGCTAAACTTCAGTTTGAATGATCCTAAGCATCCATGGAGTTTATGGGCAGTGTGCTAAGATGCATGTTAACAGTATAGCAGTGATTGAGGATTTAGGAGACTGTTAACCTCAACCCCTGCACCTGATTGCATGGGGCTTGGAAGTTACTTACCATCTGTGAGCCCTCATTCATCTGTAAAATGGGATGATACATCTGTCTTGGCCTGTATTGTTATTAGGATCAGATGAGCTAATAAAACAAAACCTATTTTGAAAGGAAGAACATGCTATTCTGCAGTAAGGAAAAACAGTCGAAAAAATGGTTGATTGCAATCCTCTTCACACTTCCACTTGGGCACTCAGATATTTTAAAATTCGATTTTATTTGTCACTAGAATCTATTGTGAATGATAAACTTTGACATTTTACATGTAATTTGAATTTACACATGTGGAATTAGAGATATTTTTATGTGCTAATGCTTATAATGAAATCATAATTAATTATATATTGTCATATTATGGTAAAAAATGAAATAAATGGACACATTTCTTAAGTATATGAAACATGATACAAAAGTAAAGTGCTAAGACTTTTCGCACACTTATCTCTGGAACTGGATTTATTTGGTTCCTAATTGGAACTACCCATTTTGGATTCTGGTCCCTGTAACATTCACTGTACTTGACAACTAAATACACACATCTGTACACATATACACAAGAATTATTTATTTTGAACTTTGGACATTACATAGCTGGAAAGAGAATTTTTTTCCCTATTATGCCCTTTTCAGGGTTTTTGCAAAGTAATATTACATAGATAACTTTGAAATTTCTTTTAACTTAAAAACTTTTCTTCATTTTTTAGGATTTGCAGCAAAAATCACAAGCTTCTCTACAATACAAAAAAATAATAAAGCTGAGTGAGGAGCCAAGGTAAATATGTTTATCATAAACTTTAACTACTTTTCTGACTTGACTTTTTTGATTTTCATGATTCTGTTCTCTAGCCATTATATATTTTGAGGTAGTATTTCATTTAATCAATTTATTGATTTAAAAAAAATTTTTTAAGAAATGGATTTTCTCCCATGATTGTGTCATGTTGAATGTTAATAGCTAACACAGTGCTTGATGCTTTGATTGTTGAAGGAACTATTATTACAATATTTCTTACAGATATTTAATATGGGATGATAAATAGCCCATATCAGAAATACACTCCTCAATCCCTGCTTTATGATAAAAATTACCTTATCTTTGTAAAATTAATTATTTAGATTGTTTTTTCTTGATTTCCTTTTTGTTTACTTACTTTCATTGTTCTTTAATCTGTTTTTAAATGAAGAAAGAAAATGATTATTAGAAGATAAATGTTCCTACTGTAAAATGTTTACTAGATAAATGTGATTGTACTGATCAAACTGCCTCATTTTAGCACTATTGATTTATATTATGTTTAATGAGAAAGGTGTTTAGTTGACTTAAAATTGAGGCATTTAATTGATGGCTCCCTCTGATTTATAAAGAAATGTTTTGTTTTTGTTGTCAATTATTTAACTAGGTCATCTGATTTTAATGACCACATATCAATCAATCAATGACCAATATACCCAGATTCACACTATATTTCTGTAATGTAACTTTTTACTATCTCAATTGAGAAATTTAATATCAATGCTTATAAAATTTTAGGATAAAAGAATAATCATAAAGAGTAATTCATGATTTTAACTAGGTATGCTTTATTAAAGTTATTTAAAAGTAAATGGAATCCAAGTATTATGGAAAATTTATAGTTGCTAGTAAAGTTCAAAGTTTCATTAAATATAGACTGAAGCCATAGCTGACTTTCTTCAGTAAGTAGAGATTTAAATTATAACTAATATAATTTGTCTTAAAATAAGTAACATTTTGATGCATTTTGGGTTATATGGCTCTTTTTTAAATATCGTGTCCCTAATAAACTGTGATGCCAGTAAATCTCTTTGGTTTTATACATAATCCTCTTATCTATTAACTTTTTTTCCCTTTTCTCTTTTGGTCAGGGAACATCTTTGTTTTTGCTGACTGTAAGAATCACATATGCTGGCTATAAGTAACTTATGCTCCATCCCTCCCCCATCAGCCTTACTGGGGAGGCATGTTAGGGTGGATGAGATACAGTGGGGATGAGACCAAAATGGGTCAGAAAAAGAGATGTACCCTGTGGTTTCTCTTCCTATGCTGTTCTTGCTTTTGCCAGCAGTAAGTGAGAATTTAGACTTACCTGTGCTGGAAAAAGAAAGTTAGGAGATATGGGTATATTAATTAAGAGTTTTAATATTGAGAAGTTTTGATTATAGATAAACAAATAGAATTTTTGAGGCCCTTAGTAAAATGATCGCTTTTTGATATTTTGTTTTAAAGTTTATATGTTAACAGTGTTCTTCGTCTCAATATTCTTTCTTCACAGTTCTTTTCTACCAAATGTTAATGTTGCTATTTCCATAGTTAGGTAAATTGGGAATACTTAGGATTGTCAGATTCTTATTTTATCTTTATTATCCATTTTGTACGTTAGAGCCTCATGAATAGAACTATTTACATTTTGGGTTTTAAAATCTGTTTTTCTTGTTAGCCACAATTTATCTGAGTTACTGATCTCTCAGTAAAATCAGTGAAGAATGGAGGAATGATGTTGGCCTTTAAAATGGAAGAATTTGAGTTTTATCTAGTAGGTACTGAAAGTTAAGTAATTATCTGCACTTCTCAGTCTTTAAAATGGGGAAATTTCAGAAGTATTGGCCTGAGTTTTTCTCTCACTCTTCATGAGTCTTCCAAGATTCTCTATGGCTTAGCATTATTTTGATATTAAGCATAATTCTTATTTGAGCAACTAATTATTAATCTAAATAAAACATGTATTCTCAGTGGGGAAGATATCTTCCCCAAGAGACTAAAACTTGGTTCTCAGAGATTTGGAAAAAAGTTATTCTTTTTAATATATAAAACACAAATATAGTATATAATAGTACCTAACAGACATACATTTTATGTATAGTATTAAAATTGTATTAGGGAAAATGTCTAAAAAGAGTCTTTAAGGAGGCTAGAATGTAAAAAGTTTGAGAAACACTGATCTAAACCCATACTATTTAAATAATACATGTAAATGAATTTGGTCATGCTTTTGGCAAAGTTAGTTATATCCATAACCTAATATTATTTAGTTTGTGAGTATTTAAAAAAAATAGTCCATAATCTACTGATAGTGATGTAGTACATATCGATATGCCTGATTTAATTCATGAAGTTATGTAAGATGTATAGCGTATGGATCCATGGTCTTTGTCTAAAAAGTAGATACAATTAAGAGTTGAAAGTTAGGGAACCCTAAACAATTCATGAATTGTCTAGCCTTAAATGTTTCTATTTCTCTCTTCATCATACTTGCCTAAGGAAGCCAATTGTAAAGAAACGTGATATAAAGACTTACAGGATTAGGGACTTGGAGGACACTGAGGATGCAAGGGAAAAGCCTATGACAAGTGAAGAGATTTCAGTCTTCTTCAGTATTTCATCTGTTCAGGCAGAACAGGAATAAATGTTGCCACAGCACAGGCAGGGAAGCCATGTGGTTTGACAAGGTAACGAATATTTTTTAAAACATACCTTAATCTTAAAAAGGTACAATTCGAAATGCCACCAGGTATATAATAAAATTATATTGAGATAACATCTATAAATTGGAAATTTTAATTTTTCGAGTGGAAACTTTTTTAGTTTGAGAGTAATTTATTCAAATCACTATTAAAAATTCACCTTCAAGTGCTTTTAATTTTTAGAAAAGTATTTATTTGTAAAGAATCCTACATCTCTTTCTTTTGGCCAGAAAAAGAGGGGATTAAATTGTAAAGAAATCATTAACTATGTAGAGACACAAAGGGAATTAGTGTTCTTTGGGCTTGAGTGACTTCAGAACATCAACTGGATATAAGACACTGGTACCCCTATTGCCCTTTATTTATTGAATGGTTCTGCCTGGATGGCCTCCCAGCACCTCTAATTTAATTTCCTCTGTTTTTTTTTGTTTTGTTTTTTGTTTTTTGTCCATTTGTGCTTTCCTTATGAATCTAAGTCTCAATTAACAGCATCATTCCTTTTTAGTTGTCTAGGTTCTGAAACCCTAGAACCCACTTTGACGTCCACCTTTTCTTACTCCTTAAGTTTCATCAACTGGAGAGTCTTTTGGACTTTACTCACCTCTGAGGAGAGAGGAATTATTCTCCATTACTTGATGTGACCAGAATATACATGAAACAAAAGGAGTAATGTCCATTCATCTTTGGAGACTATCTACCACAGTTCACCCACTGGTTACTGTAATTCATATACCTTCACGTGCAGAATAAACCCACCCTCCTTCCAAAATGCCTAAAGCCTCATCCCATTATGATACTGGTTCAGAATTTACATCTAAATCAGGTTCAAAATGGCTCACTTATATGGCTGGGAATTAATGTTGGCTTATTTTAGGCAGTATAACTATTTGAAATTAATACCTCTAGATTGTAAACTCCTTCAGGGTAGGAACTATATCTTTTATTTATTCCTACCACCATGGCTATGGTATGATAGTCAACATAGTAGCAATTTGATGAAGATTTGTTGAAATACACTTATTGATTAAAGGGACTATTAAACTTCAGACACCAGATATGCATAGAACATGGTTAACATTCTATGTGAAAATGCAGTATCATGATAAATGTTCTCCCAAAAAATTCAATATTGCGATATATATTCTTCCGTCTTATATTTGGAGGCTGGATGCCAGAAGGCTTACTAATATACAAAATACTACTATAAGTAAAAATCAATTAAACAGTATTTCAGTGGAGCTTTGAATTTGCTTAGCATTTGGACAACTGCTCCTTTTAGAGTTTAGAGTTTCATATCATAAGACCTGAAAAATTTTAGGTTGCATCTTGGCATCATAGCACTTATAGAATTAACTTTGTTGAGATTGCATTCTTGGGGCCTCTTAAGAATGATTTGATCTCAGAAGCTAAGCAGGGTCGGGCCTGGTTAGTACTTGGATGGGAGACCACCTGGGAAGACCAGGTGCTAAGGTATAAAAAATTAAAAAAATAATAAAGGTTTGTAAGCTGACAAGGTCCTTGCAATCTGCGAGGTCAACCAAGGGTTGCCTCGCCTGAAAAAAAAAAAAAAAAAGATTTGAAAGATACTCCCAAATACCCTAATGAGTTGACCTTATCAGATCAGTTTTTACACTTAAGACTTACTTATTGTTGCCAACATAGACTATTTGCCTGATTCTCCATTTTCTGTTTTTAATACTGTTATCACAGCAGTTCTTCTAGCAGTAATTCAAGGCTTTAGATCTTTTTTTCATTGGTCACCGTGCCATCAACATATTTTTATACCAAGTCAGAATGTGTCTAAGAAAGTATTTAATATCTCTACCAGTTGTTTAAATGTAAGTTTTAAGTGAAGAAACCAAGCTCTCAGCCTCATTTTTATTCTTTGGAAATAGAATTTCTAGGAGAACAGAATTCTAACCAGTCAGATTCTGGCGGTATTATTTACTATAATACAGACATGGTAGAAGCAGCTGTAGCTCAGTGACTGAACTGAGATGCCACGACTTGAGCCACGGTATTTTTAGTCTGAGAAACTGGAGTCAGATGAGAGAGCTTTGAATGTCAAGATGGGGCTTACCTTTTGCTTGACTGTTTTTCTTTGGGGGAGATGGAAAAGTGTTAGTAGTGATAACTAGTGTTGCTCATTGATTGTAATGGTTTTGGCTCAAATCTAGTCATGTACTAGAAATCAAATGTAGAAATGTCTTCATGTTAGTTAGCAGAAAAATAAGTGTATAAAGTCAGGAGAATTGAGGGTTTCCTCTTTTAAAAATGGTGGGCTACACTTTA